CCCAGAGCTGTGCATTTCACATCGTCTTCCTCAGTGAGGCTCTGCTTAAGGGAGATGCAGGACCTCCCTGGCCCATGGGGCCCGATGCAGTCGGATCTGCCTCCATCCTCGAGTTTTAGCTTTTTTGGAGGGGGGGAGGGTGAGTTTGGGAGTTGTGGGGAGAGTAAACATGAACGGAATTAGGAAGCTGTTGCAGATGTCTAGACAAGATGGACGGACGGTATGAACGGGTGCAGGTCCAGAGAACTGGGACCCTGTGGTAGGGCTTAAGTGGTCCCAGTCACCCAGGACCGAAGCTCCTTCTAGCAGCACCACTTGCTTCCTCTGCTTAGGGGGCAGCAGGCCACAACAGGCCTGCCCTTACTCTGGCATTCACTGGGCACTGAGTCTCTGGACCACAGTGTTCACACCATAACGATGCAAGCACTAGACTGTACACTGGCCAAGGGCAGTTCTGACACAAAGATAGACAGGAGAATGTGCGAAGGAGCCCACGACACTCGCAGCCCTTTGCAAAGGCTGCTGGCTCTCAGCATCACTGCCTGAGTCTTTTGAAAAGTGTGTAGATGTTTCCCTCTCATTGAGGGAAGCTCCCCCTCAGTGGCTCTGGGTGCCTTGTCCCCCAGAGCCTTGAAAAGCTGTGTCTGGTGGCTCCCCTCTTTCCTCTCCTCTTACGCCTCCAGCCCTGAGGCAGTGCTTCTGAGCTACTATCCACTCTGAAAGGCACAGTGGCATTGAGCTCTGAAACTGAGCTCCCAGGTGCACTGGGGCGTCCAGCTTTCCTGACCCACTTCCCAGCAGAGCAATGGAGGACAGTGTGTGGGAGGTGAAAATGGTTTTTGACAGCGATACTTATTGAGTGAAGAGGTGTCCATGAAATAAGCAACTGGTAGTTTTCTGGTGAGCCCTGATAGCGATCATTACAGTGAAATATTATTCTGATTAAGCCACCCTCCACCCCTCGGTGCCATGCTGGTTCCGTGACCCACCGGCGTTACCACCTCTGGTTCATCCAGCCTGCGTTTGTGGACATTCTCCCCAGGCCAGCCCCTGTGTGAGTAACTGCTCTCCCCAAGATGCCATTTTAGCATTTCAGATGCTTCCTTCTGCATCTGAGATGGACCTTTTCATCCTAGCTACTATCATTAATTTATCCCAACAAAGATTTGTTCCCAGCACTAAAAAACTTAAAAAAAAATAAAAAAAAATAAAAAAAAGACATCTGAGGGAAAATGGTTCCTGAGTTAGGTTGGCCATCTTCACAAACCGGGGGCCAGGCCTGCTAGAAGTCAGAGGTTGCCATGGCCAGCAGTCTAAACATGTCCAGCTGCCTTTGTAAACTCTCCAGTGTCAGGGAGCCACAAGATTCCTGTCTTCCTCTGGGTCCTCAGGCTGAGGAAGTCCTGAGCTGGACACAGCCTATAGCATCTAAAGATGGATGTCTGCATCATGTCTCAGCCCCTGGGTGGCCAAATTGTGTCGCTGAATTTGGAACTCTGTTCAGAGTTCGTGCGGCCTCTCAGTCTTGGCTGTCTTGGGCCTTCTGGTCCAGCTGACAAGATGTCCTGTCAATCTTGCCATTAAATGCTTACAAGGGCCAGACCTTTTCCTAGGCCCTTCACACGTATTGTCTCTATTTAAATAAACCCTCAAGAGAACCTCATGTGCCAGGCACTCGGTCCAGCCCCTCAGAGATTCTGACTTCATAATTGTGAAATGCAGAGTTGGTCCCTTACCTAAGACTATTCCGTCCCTTGGTGTCGGAGCCAACACAGGGCTATCCAGATGAATCTTACATGGCAGATTTGTGGGTGTCACAGACCTGACAGAGATAATTTTGGATGAGGGTCCTTTTTGGCGTTCTCTGAGCCATGCACTGCGAAGGACTGTCACTCTGTCCCTGGATGACACGCCCTGCTCTCAGTCTTAGAGCATTTCAATTACATGGTCAACTAACAGGAAATGCTGCTTCTCTTCTCCCTTCTATGACATCCTTCCCAAGATGACTGTCCCTGGAATTGTCAACTCATGAAAATACTTCTGGGAAATGAATGTGCCCCTGTCACCATTCTCCCCAGCACTCCCCTCGGGCCCAGGTGCTCCCTGGGCGACGGGCTGGTGGGAGCCGGCCTCCTCATGCAGATACTGAGATGGAGAGACAGCTTCTTCCCATCCATCAGTCCTAACTGCATTCGAACGTTTTCAATCTGTGGGTTCCTCGGCCGCGTTCACTGTATGGAAAACAAAATAGAGGGAAATGATTATTGGCACAAAACAGGGACGCGGTAAATCTTCCAATCAGATATGGGACAGAGTGGAACAACATGAGTCCTCCAAGGTTGCCACCATACTGTACCCAATACCTCTCGTCGGGCAGGGCGGCAGTCTGCTTTCAATCAATCTCGCTTTTTCTGAGCAAAAATACCAATTATGTTGAAGGAAGATTTCCCCCCCCTCCCTTTTTGATAAAGACTGCTCTCTACCCCAGAAGGCATGCTATAATGAACAGACATATATTTTAAATCGTAGAGAATGGTATTGGACAGCTAACACCAAATGAAAAAAGTCAATCCTTTTTTTTTTTTTTTCCTTCTGTCTCCTGCCAGCATTCGTCTTACTTCTTAAGAGAAGTGAAAGCTAATTAAAGGCTTAAGGGATAATATTGATTGCATTGGAATATATTTTATATGTACCCAGCACATTTTCCACGAAGAGAACCCTGACTCTAAGGCCGAATAAATCAGCGGCTGAGCCTTTGATTCAAGGGTGAGAGGGTGAACTCCTCCCCTCCCCTTCCACTTCTCATCCAGCTGTCCCAGAGATGAATGGTTTTGGAGGAGGAAGCGGGATGCTGGCAGATGTTCATTCAGTTCTTCGCGCACAGGATAGGAAGGATGGATGCTCAGGCATCTCTCTGGCCCTCTCATTGATTTGAGTCCAGCTTTGAATAATAACCAGTCTTATGCTGGTGTAGAACTGTGGGCTTTGCAATGCCTGGGGCAGGAGCTGGCTGGGGTATTAACCTCTCAGTTCCCTCATCTATTGGACGGGGAGAAGAAGCTTGCCCTGGATCACATGTTCTCGGGGCAGAGCAGGGAATTCAACCTGGCTCCCTTTCACATCCCTGTAGAGGGGCCCTTACCTCGGACCATGCTGGCCTTGGTCTCCACCAGGGAAGTTTGTGGGCAGAAAGTATCAGCATTGCCCCCACTGTCATTTGTGGAGAAGTCAAGTGCACAATCAGAAGTCTTATTGAGATCACACAAATTCACGTGCAGCCTGTTTTGTCCATGTAGATGCACATGTATGACAACAAGCATGTTAAGGTATGATGTGATAAAAATGCATATAATCCAAGTGTTTCATTCACTTCACATACTCAGACATACTGTGTATTTTAGGAAGGTGCTGGTGTATGGGTTTTGAGTATAGAATTTGGTTGGGTGGTCACAGGACCTCCCTCAACCCGGCAGGCACGGACTCGAGCTCAGTGATCTTGCTCACACGGCTCCTCCGCAGAAGCCCCTGACTCCTCCCTCCCCGATGGCCGCTGCTCGCCGATCGCTAAGTGCAGCTCCGTAACAATAACAGACCGTAATGGTGATATTATGAACTGCACCGCGCGTATTATTGATTTACTCTTTGTTCTGCATCATTATCCTTTCACCAATGAGTTTACTGCATTATTCTCACATACTTAGTCAAGCACCAAATTACAAGGAAAGGGCAGGCTCTTGTAATGGCATCTAATGGAACATTGCATAAGTGATCATCATGCCTCCTATTACGGGCCGCCTCCAGCCAATGCGCTCTTCGCCTTACTGCAATGTGCACAGAGCGGTTATGGAGTGTGAGGGGCCTGGCCATTTTACATTTTCCCACAGAATTACGGTGCTTCTTGTTCACCACGTGCCCATGCCTCACAGCCCAGCCAGGGACTCGGCCTCTGTCCCCCGCGGCCCGAGGCGCACAGGGATCTGGGCTGAGTCCCTTGCAACAACCTCTCTACACTAAGCCAGTGCGTCTCCTCTGTACAGCCAATCCCAGCATGGGGGCCTGGCACTAACCCTTCACCAATGTGCTTAGTCCTGAGCGATCGAGCACCTTGTAGTGACTGTCCTAGTCAGTGGCCATAGGATAGCCTGGTGTCAATGTCAGATTGGTCCAGGAGCCCAGAGATGCTGGGGGACTCTTGTTCCCACAGTTCTGGGAAGGGGATCCTCCTCCCAAGGCCAGCCACCGTCTCCAGAAACAGAAGTCCCTGGGATAAGGCTTCTCCCCATCCGGAGGCTAAACCCTTTGGCCCGCAGAGACATCCGTGGCACCCTAAGGAAGCAGCTGCCGGGGACACAGATTCGCTGTGGATCTCCCATTCCAGAGGCGTCCGTCCCCATTTAGCCCTGAGTAATGCTCACTTACTGTAAAGCGTTACGTGCCCCCATTGTTGGAGGAGTTATGGCGGAAAAATGCAAAATTTTCCTTTTTACTGCTTATGGCCAACAGAGCCCATAATGTGTCAAGCCGCACATTAGCCACCCTGATAAAAGTCCGCTTCCTTACACACAAAATCATCGTTTCAGCAAGATTTGTTATCTCATTACCTGATAAGCTCTATGTCATAAACCAAGACTCATTCAGTAAATCTCCGGGGAGGACACTTTGTGGGCAGAAAGGGAGAGATAGGAATCTGCAGGGGACTAGAGAATGCAGCATTTAAGCGCGAGCATAATGTCACTTATTGTGAAATGCATAAAACCACTTGGCCAAACGGTTGGGCTTTAATAGGATTTTGTGCGGCATCAGGTGAGACGCCATATGCCTTCTCTGCCGAAGAGCACCTGCCAGCACCGCAGCTTTGCCTCGCAGCCTCTGGGGAGGGGAGCTGGGCTCATGGAGCCCCCTAGGATGGTGCTTTCCTGCAGCTGTGCCTCCTCTGTCCTGCTGGGCGTGGGTGCCTGGGTCGCGCTGGGCCACTCATCTAACCAGCCTCTCCCATGCAGGCACATTGTGGTCTGTGGACACATCACTCTGGAGAGTGTCTCCAATTTCCTGAAAGACTTCCTGCACAAGGACCGGGACGATGTCAACGTGGAGATCGTCTTTCTTCACAAGTAAGAGGCCCCCGTGGTTCTGAGACCCTCCACCCCACAAGACACCCTGAGGGGGCACCCTGAGTGTCTGCAGGAGTGGTGCTGTGGGCAGGGGAGAGGGCAGGGCAGGGTTGAATGAGATACGACCTCTGTTGGGACTCAATGGGGAGGAAGATCTGAACCAATGGAAAGGTAGTGACATGCTAGTTCAGTGAGAGCAGCTCCTGCCTCTGTGAAGGTGATTCTGGCAAGTAACAGAGGAGTTTATGATGGGTCACACATGTCATTACTGTGCCCTCAGCTTCTGGATTTCTGTGATCCACGTGTGTCCCCAGTGTCTGGTACGGAATGATGAGCGGTGTGGTGTGGATACCTTGTGATTGTAGGGGTGACATAGCGACCAAGGAAAACATAAATGTAACAGGAAGCAGGATATAAGGTACTAATAACCACAGTAACTGTGGTTCCCAGAAACTCTCAGTGGGGGGCACTGTGCTCCCTGGTCACCATGCATACAGTTCCTCCTTTAATCAACAGAGGGAGCAGAGGACATGCTCTGGGTTCTGAATACCCGATCTGAATCTTGGGTCAACCAATTACTTGCTGAACCTCTTTGGGCCTCAGTTTCCACATCCAAAAGATGGGGACATCATCATGGTTTCTACCTACATCCTTGGGCTGTTGTGAGAATGAAAAGAAGTAATCCATATAATGTACACAGAGCAGGATCAGGCATGCAGTAGCTGCTCAATCAATGGTCTCTATTATTAAGAAATATAAAATATATTAGGTCACATAACTGATTTAGAAGTTATGTCTTACTATATTTGATTTACAGGTGAGGAAAGCAAGGTAGCTCCCCTCTGCTCAACGTTGATGATATTTTAAGCTTGCCACATCCCCTTTAAGGAAAAGGTAGTCTGCACAGGGATGAAGAGTGGGGGGCTCAAGCATGTTGACATGCATTGATCTGTCTTCTTTTAGAGACGGGCCATTCAGGGACCAGCCCTAGCCATAAGTTGCCAGAAGAACAAAGCCAAAAGGACTTGAGTAAATTCTCTGGACATTGTCGGTGTTGGCTCACTATGGGGTTGACCACTCAAGACTCAGTCCTGCTCCAAGAGCCCTCTTAGGTTGATCTCCCTACTAGCTCCCATTCTGTGCACCTTCCTCCTCCGGGCATTTGTTCACCAATACCAAACTGGTCACCAGATTTGAGCACCAGCATTTTTCTTCTCAGCACCGACTTCTCTAAGTTCTGAAAAGGCTGGCCAAGCCATGGGCCCAGGAGCAGAACCCACAGAACAGTTCAGAGCTAGCTGCTGATTCCCAGTTGTGGGGCCCGTTTTCCGCTGAGCCTTATAGAAGCTTCAAGAGAAGTGTAGTGTCTGCCCTCCTATTGGCTGAACATTTTAAGAAGAGCACATGTGTGACATCAGAGCACAGCAGTGGTCTATCCTAACTGGCTGAAGTCAGTTTAACCAGGTGGCAGACTGGCCTGGGACATCTCTACCAGGAATGAAGCATGGCCTACTGGCTCTGGGGGACTGGAAAGATTTGCATAGACAGCCCCTCTTCTCTCACCCAGGGCTTCAGTCAGAATCAAGTTGGCTGCTAATGCTTCTAGCATCAGGGTTCCCCTGTGTCCCCAGCTTCGATTCTTGTCAGTATCCTAGTAGATGGCCCAGTTAATTAACCTCTTGAAGCTTTGTGTTAATAACATACCTTTCTCAAGTGTCCTTCTGAGGTTTAAATGAGTTAATACTTGCAAGTGTTTAGCATGGTATCTGCCATCCACTAAACGCTCAAAGCATTAAGAGTTATTAAGATTAGGTACTTAGTAAATGTTAGTCATGTTGTTAACACTATCCCCGGCACCAAGTAGGTTCTAACTAAATATGACCTCCCAGTGCTTAGTATAGCACCATACAGAGTAGGTTTGTTCATTTTGCAGAATGAATGAATGAATGAATGAATGAATTGGTCAGTCAGTGTTTTAATCTTTGTCCTCCAGTGGAAAGATGTCCTTACAGCTCAGTCCTAAGAATCATGAATGGTGTATACCCTATGAATCAATAACAGTAGTGGGAGTAAAAGAACTCCGGGTGCGGCTGCACAGAGGTGACATGTTTGGGGCTGAGGAGTCCATGAGGTGGAGAAGCAGGGAAAAGGCTTTTGGTGGAAGGAACGGGCACTACCAAGGGAACCTGTGGCTAACCCTGATGTCACCTCAGTTTCTCTATTTATAAAATAGGGATTCCATTCATAATGAAGTCGAAGACATTTCACCCCATATGTCTCAGACGTGGCAAAAGTCTGGGCCTGTTTATTTTGCCGGGTATTCGGTTTGGTTCAGGAGGTTTTATCTCTCCTGAGTGCAAGCCTTTTATTTATGACAAGCTTGGGAGCTGCTCTGAAGGAGAAAGCTTTTTCCCAGGCCTCTTTCCCAGGCCTCCCTCTGTGGGAGTCAAGAGAAGGGGTCTGGAGGCTGCAATACCTGGGTCTGTCATATTAATGGCTGTCTCTTCTCTCCCTGCACAGCATTTCCCCCAACCTGGAGCTGGAAGCTCTATTCAAACGACATTTTACTCAGGTGGAATTTTATCAGGGTTCAGTCCTCAACCCACATGATCTTGCGAGAGTCAAGGTAAGAAGGAAGGAGTGACCTCTTATTTTCCTCCACCTAAGAGGGGGGTACCTGACTCAGTGGTAAGGGAACATGCCTCCCAGGATGGCCAAAAGTCATCCCCCCAACCCCTAATGAGAGAAGTCAGATACCACTATCTTGGCATCACCTTTGCATAGACCCCAGGGCTTGGTTCTGCTGGCATCTGCTAGACCACTTGTGAGCATTCTGTACTGGAACTACTTGGAGCATGGAACTTCCTTTGCTAAAGGAAGCAGACTAGTTGTGTGGATTCAATAGTCTCCCATACAACATAATCATCAAGTTATTCCAATCTCAAATACTTAAGTAGGATTCAATGTAGCTCTGAAATCAATTATTTATATCCAAAAGGAACTCTAAGGGTAAAATCCTTTATTAATAAAAGGCTAATATGCAAATTGACCGAATGGAGGAATGACTGGTTGCTATGTTATTCGATGACCACCAGGGGGCAGACACAACATAGGAGCTACCCCCTGGTGGTCAGTGCACTCCCACAGGGGAGCACCACTCAGGGAGAAGCTGGGCTCATGGCTGGTAAGTACAGTGGTGGTGGCGGCACTCAGGATGCCCAACTGTGGCTTAGGCCTGCTACCCCCTGTCAGGAGGAATTCCCTGAGGGCTCAGGCCAGGCTGAAATCTTGTGCACCGGGCCTCTAGTTTAAAATAAAAATTTATCAAGCCATAAAACATTTTGAGCTTCCTTCTTCCCCCCACCAAAAGACTAAGATGTGGAACTAAACATACAGGTATCTGATATCACTTTGTAAAAGACTAATTTTTCTTTCTAGCACCTGCTAAGGTAGAATCTTTTTAGAAAGCACATGTGAGGCTTATAAAGGGATGGGGTACAGCAAAGTGGCCTCTGCCACTCTACCCATTGCATACTGATTTTGTAAGCATGCTCTGAGTTTGCACAACAGTAAGTGTATACAATTGTGAAGCCACTGACATCTGATGCTAACTGCAGTCACCACACCATTCAGTAACCATGTAATGGGCAAACACGAATAAGCCAAAAGGACTTGAGTAAATTCTCTGGACTATTAAAGAAAACCAGAGACACTGTGACGTACGATGAGGGAGACCACACCCTCCCTCCAAATGCAAGAGGGTCTGCTAAGTACAGCATGCCAAGTGGGACAGGCTGCAGGCCTGCGCCAGCATGAGAATTCTTACGGAGTCCAGTTCATCTTAATTTCCCCCAGACATGGTCAGAGTTATGGCTATTGTGGAAGCTCATGAGAACTTCAAGAAAATGGTTATTGTTCTTGGACCTAATTTCGATGTAGGCAGTTATTATAATAACTCTACTCACAAACCCCTCAAAGGAATAAACCATTTGGGGCTCATGTTCAGATAAGTTAGTAAGTTAAAATTTGAGATTGTCTATTATACATTATTTCATACCTACAGATGTGTTGTCTTTTGAATATATCAATGCTAATTGAATACTAAACAGCAGTGGTTCAGGACTCTCATTTCCTTTTATTTGCCAGATAAGATGTGAACAGGGTTAGAGGGAGAACGTTGGAGTCTAAATGGCTGAATCTCCAACTCCTCAGTTACCTTGGTAACCTGAGTGGATGGGGCTTAGCCCACCTAACTCCATTTCCCATCTGGAAAAATTAGGATTGTGGTGGGGAAAGGAGGTGGGGCGGGGGTGGAGGTACTAAAAGGCTTAGTTCATTGCTCTTTAAAGAAATCTGAGAAGCTCACACATAAGACTATGCAAAATGAACAGTATAATTACTAAGGTACATGCTGTTCCCTCCACCAGCAACCAGATGAATTGTTTATATCATAACAAGACTTTGCAACCTACATTTTAAACACAAACTGTAATCTCTCAGGATTCTTTTAAAAAATTCCTTTGCAAAGCACCAGGTTCCCTAAGAGCTGCCAATAGTGAGAGACTGCCCCCGAGCCTGGCTATTTATGTGTTTGTGCCTGTGGTTTTCCTTTTGGTGTCTTAGATAGAGTCAGCAGATGCGTGCCTCATCCTTGCCAATAAGTACTGCGCAGACCCTGATGCTGAAGATGCCTCCAACATCATGAGGTAACCTCTGTGGGTGGGGGAAGGCTCTGGGCTCGGGGCTCTGTGGCCCATTTGCTCCCCTTTGAGTCCTCTACAGCATCTCCTCCATAATGGACCTGCCTAGGCCTGGGGGGAGCTGAAGCTGTGCTGGGTGTGGAGGGCAGTGACACAAGGCCTAGTCCATAGGAAGTTCATCCTGAGAAGATGGGAGCTCTGGGTCTTGAATTTGAGATCTTTTAGATAGGACCAAAAGAAAGGGTACATTTAGAGGGGTGTGACCTGGAGTAAGATGCCATGTTTCCTAAGAGGAAATGGACCTGAGATACCTAAACAGGGATGTGATTTCGTCTCAGGGGACCTTTTGAAACATCTGGAGATGTTCTTGGTTGTCATCCTGCTCATGTTTGGTGGGTAGAGACCAGTAACACTGCCCAACATCCTACAATGCAAAGGCCAGCGCCACACAGCAGAGAATCCGTCTGGCTCCAAATTTCAATAGTGCCTGGGAGGAAGCCCTATCTTAGAGCTTTCCAAGTGTGTCCTTAGCACCTGGATTTATTTCATCCGCAAAGAGGAGTTGGTTCTCCAATTAGTTTGTTTCCACCAGTCTCCCTGAATGAAATAGTTTTGTTTACTGAAAACCTTCTCAGTGCTTTTAATACTAATATGAATGATAAAAATAATGTGCTCTAGAGAATTTCTCAAACCTATTTGACTACAAGCCCTGGCCCCCATTTTTACAGAACATCTGGGGGGGCCACTCTTTGGATAACACTTCCCAGTACCCTTCCTGCAAATGGCCTAAGCCTGTCAGAGGCCATTCTCTGCCCAACTCTTACCCCTCACTATTTCAGAAGAAAACTGTTGTCCTGTTTTTGTTCTTTGCATAGACCCATATCCAGACATATTGTGACTATGAGATACTTGAAAGGTTAAGGTATTTTTGCTCCAGATAGCTAAAGCTTTTTTGAAATCTTACCTCCTGTAGCATAAACTGCAGAGTAGTTAAGAGGGAAGGGTAAAAAGAACCTTCTGGAGAAGAGATGACCTAAGAGAAAACATGTCACTCCCACTGAATTCCTGGGAACTCTTACCTAATTGTGAACAGCCATCTTTGGGGTCTAGACAAAGATTCCCTCCCTGCAGCATGGTTTACTGTGCCCTGGGAATTTGCCCTGACTGTCCCAAGATGGGGGCTGGGGAAGTTGCCTTTGCATTATCACAATGCTGGAACCTCCTTTCTGTGCCTTTAATCAGTGGCCCCAAGTGACACGTGCTTCCCCATTGAGGAGGTGGGGGGATTCCTCTATGCTTTTCGGGGGAGAGAGGCCTCCCCTCAGCATCTGGTCCTTGTGTCTGGCAAGCAACATCTGGAGCATTGTTCTCTTTCCACTCGCTTTTTTTTGGCAATATGATTAGTGCAGTTGTTTTAAGGAAGTTGATGTGTGAGCTCTTGTAAGCATTGGGCTTGCCAGGCTGCAGGAGATGGTGGGGTGAGGACATGCTCCCACACCTGGGTCCATCCCCTCACCAGTCACAGCTGGAGAGTGACTACAGCAGCCTCGGTTAAGGTGGCTCAGTCTGCCCTTTCTTTGAACTAGGATTTCACTCCTTCACCACGTTTCCCACATCATATGAAGTGACACAGATGTAGACTTTAAGGCACTAGGCTTTATCTTCAAAAATTTCACCCAAAATATCAAAAGAAGATAAAGCTTAATGTATTGATCCCATAGACAAATTAGAGGGTGGCACTACTCTTTTTTTTCTTTTTCTCTTTCTTTCTTTTTCTCTTTCTTTCTTTCTTTCTTTCTTTCTTTCTTTCTTTCTTTCTTTTTTCTTTTGCTTTCAAAAGTGACTAATTGAAATGATAATAGCTTTGAAATGGGCATTTTTCTTCTTCATCACAATATCTCATAAAAGCCTTGCCTGTGGTAGGGTTAATGTGAAGACATATATAGGTTACCACGGCATGATGCCAAGGCATAGAAATTATTGGGCAAAGGTAGTAGCAGAAATGTAACTGAGCCATCCATTAGCCAGAATCAGAGCTAAGGCCCAGGCAGCACAAAGAAATGGGAGGCTCGGGGTTAAAAATGGGTTCTGTCTTTCCCTTATTTGTATAATCCTCCTTCCTCCTTAATTTAATGAGACCAATCTGCCCTGTTTGAAATTAAAATGTCAAAGATCCATTTGAAATGAGCTAATGCAGAAAACTGGCTGAGGCTGTGAACTGAATTCAGAGGGCTGACAGAGGCTCCAAGTCCTTGAGTTATAAGCTCGGGCCAACGCAAGACTTTTTTCAACAATAAAATGAAATCCTTCAAGTGCAGGAGCCCAGGGTGAATTTGTGCAGGAGAGGCTTATGTGTGATCCATTTCCTAAGTGCAGAAGGTGGAGCTTTCCAGACACAGCTGCTCTTGGCCGCCTCTCTCCATCTTCGCATGGCACAGGGATGAAGTGCAGGGTTTCTGGGTGGGAAGTTTGTGGGGGGTGTCACAATAAATGCACTTGCATTTCTGATTAGGCTCAGGCGGTGGGCCATTCCATGGAATTCCATCTTGAGCCTTCCTTGTCCCAGAAGGAAATGTACAGTGTCACCTCTGACAGAGTCCGTAATGACAAAAACCATAACTTACACGTGGAGAGAGCTTTTAATGATTTCAAAGCATTTTCACATCTGGTCTTTCATTTTGCTGCTCAGACCAAGCCTGTGAAATAAATAAAGCAGGTACTGTTGCCCCCGATGTCCAGATGAGGAAATGGTCACAGAGAGACCAGGGATTTCCTGAAGGTCACCAGTTCGCCAGGGCACTAGCTGGGACTGGAGTCCAGGTGTTTATATTCCTCTGCTCCCTGCCCCTCCCCTGTTAGCACATAATTGTCAGGGGGACCATGGGGAGGGCCAGGCAGGGGCTAATACTGAGTATGGACTGAGGGTAGTTTGGAAGGATTTTGTGCTCAAACTCTGGAAGGCCTTGCCCCTTATTCTAACCAGATCAAAGTCATCATTTAGATGCTATTAGCCACTGAAGACTGAGTCAAGAATCCTGTCCTGGGAGCCCAACTTAGAAATCATTTTTGTGAGTGGCCATGTGTATGACAATTAGAATCACTTGTCGGGTTGCTTGTTCAGTTTGTCACTTTTGTCTCAAATTATTACTTGGAGAATTGGATCCATAGCAAATGGTTTCTAGGCTCTTCCCCGGGGTATGAGATTGCAAACGTCCTTTGGCCCCATAAAGTGAGATTGCTTTCTTCAGATGCCTCTATAGGCAACACACCTTGACCCTGGCCCCAGGACCCCCTACTCCTAGGACACACTTGCTCACATACCACAGGCCTCTCTCTTCCTTTATGCCCAGGACACTTCTGTGGCCGTTTTGTGGTTTCTTTTTCACACTACCACGGATACGGTAGTGGAAACACAATTTAACTTGACCCCATGCCTGCAACCCTTCAGGATGGCACTGGATGCTGGCCCCACATACATTCACTCCATTTGGTTATAATCAAATTAATCTTCCCATCAGACTCCAAAGTTAAGGTAAATTATGCTTCAGCTTTCATGTTTTCTTTTTTTAGAGTGATCTCCATAAAGAACTACCACCCGAAGATAAGAATCATCACTCAGATGCTGCAGTATCACAACAAGGTAGGACAGTGAGAGCCTAGTGAGGCTCAGAGATGCATATGGGGTCTAGTGTCTTCTCCCTCACCATTCAGCCAAACACATGTGCATACGCATATGCACGCACGCACGCGCACACACACACATGCACACACAACAAAGAAATCCACAGGCCTGAACAAAGTGGGTGCTGGGTAAACCCTCCTTGGGACATTTCTTCAGGCTAAACACCTGTCTGCAGTTGGTCACTGGAAGGAATCTCCTTCAGGTACCGATTCATTCATTCAGGAAGCATCTGTGGGACCTCCAGGTTCAGATCACTGTTGCACTCAGATCCCATTGCAACACTTCCATTTTTGTGTGCTGTACTAATTCCTTCAGTTTGTATTTACTGAGCACCTACGAGATGGTCAACACTCTGCCTGGCCCCCTAATCCCAAGAAGTCCTGTTTTGTGCTCTCAAGGATTTAGTCCTCATGGTGCAGAGAATGTCCCAAATAGGACTCTTCTCCCTGAGACCAGGTGAACCTGGGGGAACAGAACACACATTGGGTGGTGAATGTGGAACATAGCATTCTCAAATTCAAGATGAGAACTACATGATTGAATTCAGGAAAACTAGAGTAAACATAATGGAATCTTCCTAGTGTTAGAGCTTACAAAGGAGATAGGGAAGAAAACAAATGCTGGAGTCTGCATTGATTCCAGAGTCCAGGGGCATTCAAAGGCAATGCTCCTCCATTCAAATGGTCATTAAACTCCCAGGAAAACAGCTTTGGGGGAGGGAAGGTGGCACTTGTGTCTGTTTGATATGGAACCAGTTATCCCCTTAATGAGGCTTAGAAATCAGGCTGTGCAGCACCTGGAACCAGGTGTCCTGTGTGAACTGAATAACTCCCTGCTGGGTTTTGAGTGAGTGTGTGACCCATCTTATAGGCCATATTCCCTACGAAATAGGCAGTCAGGTGACCCAGAGAAGACCCCGCTTTGCCAAATGTGCCAGTGCCACGCCATTATTTCTTAATTGCTGGCAAGGGCGGCCCCATTTTGCTGTGTGGAAGCCCATCAGAGGCTGTCGCTGAGTGGGGCCTGCTGTCGGTGACTGGCTACCCTTGGCGCTGCTCCCCCTGCCAACCGTTGCCCAATGCTCGGCAGGTGGTTCCACTGCAGAAGGTGTTGTGCTGCAGCCAGAGGGGTTGGTGGTGGGCAACCAAGGTCACAGTGTCCTGTTTGTCTCTGGAAAACCAAGGATACTAAAAGGATACAGTGAGGATATTGGTAACTCACAAGCATCAATTTAGAGAAGTTTTCTGACAGCAGTCCCTGTAGGTGGAGGTAAATTTTCTTAGCAAGGCCATGGCTGGTGACAGCTCCTCGGGTAACGAACTCCCTCCTTCCATTTGATATTTGAAATTGTATTTCGTGTGAGAGTGCTTGAAGCTGTTATTTAGATTTTGAGCTGTATTCAGATTGAATAGGAAAATTAACGTTGTATTGTTTACAAAGGGATGTCAGTTCCTTTCCTCCTGCTTCCACTGAGTGCTGATATAGCATCTTCAAGACATTAAGGAGGATTTCAGCTGTGATTCCTGTCAAACTCCAAGCGGCTCCATAGACCCAGGGTCCAGATAGCACCTGGTCAGTGTTCACATGACCACGGTGAGCTCAGGGTCTCCCACAGTCTCTGCACTGTGGCTCTTCAGGAACAACGGTGAAGAAGTCAGCCAATCTGTGATAATTTGCTTAAAACACGCTTTGTTTAGAGACACCTATCTGTGTGGGTTTAGAGTTAGCCAAACATTGCTATGAGATTCTGCCCTGGAAGTTTAGTAAGGGTGCCAGGGACAGGGAGACTATACACAGGGCCTTTCCTCTCTCATTGCCTTTCTCTCTTCCAGAGAACGAATAGAAACCCACTGTTCATTATTAGTTATCTGATGACTTGAAGAATTGCAAACAGACATTCTTCCCCTTGCTTTATAATTTTGCTCTGTTTCCTAAGGTCCCCCTACCTACCCTTTCAACATGTTTTTTTTTCCCCACCTTCCATTCAATATTATTTTTCTTTCTCTTTTGGCACTTTTTCTTCACCAGAGATCTCCACCCATGAACACTTGCTTTCAGAAAGAACCTGGTATGCGTGTATAAACTTATGTCACTGTCAATATATTCCAAGGGATCGTTAATTCCATCATTGGATGCCATGTGTAAAATATAAAGGATCTCAATCCCCTGTGACCAAAGGATTCTCGTATTCTAGGACCAAGAGGGACATAGGGATACTGCCTGCTTTTTCGCCATGTAAATCTATCCCTGAGTTTGTTATCATAATAACCTCAGACATTTGTGTAATATTTTATGGTTTTACAAGAGCTTTGATTTCCATTCTGTCATTAAGTCCTCATTTGACCATCTGTGCATTTCAGCTTTCAATGTGACTTCAGACTGGGGCTCTAAGCTCTGACTCAGAGCTGCTCTGGAGGGTACAAATGATAGTCACTTGGCAGCCAGTGAGCTAAGAGACAGAGCTGCCAACTACCATCTTTTCTTTATATAGAGCCACAGCCCACTGAACCAAACTGTGGCTCCATAGAGTAGGACCCATAGAAGGGTTGATATTCTCCAAAGGGTTGATATTCTCTGTTTAGTATCACTAGAATCCATGGAGGGAACCACTCACAGCCTAGCCATCTCTGAACATGGAAAGACTGTGACCCAGATAATTTTCTAATTTGAGTGTAAATGGCTTGAATTTCTTCAAGGAAAGAATGGTTTATGACATCTTGGAAAGGTGTTACTCCTGATGATCTAGCTCTTACTGGATTTTCTCTCCCAGCTGAAAAATCCAGTAAGAACTAGACTGTAGTGAGAATTCTTTTCTGAACTTGAAGCCAAGTCCTGCTGGCCTGATGGACATGCAAGTTCTTTGAGCTTCCTCCTATAACTCCTTATACTTGGGCAGGAGTGCTACAGTGTTTCCTCTGATGTGACCTCTTTGCTCCTCATGGTGGCTTCCCCAGTTGTATTTTATGTGCAGTGAGAGGTGGGACTGGGGTTGGAATCCATCTCTCCTGGTTTCCCAGGACAAACTGTCTTATGTTCCTTCTTCTTGAGATGATGAGTGGCCCATTACAGACCCTGCCCAGCAGGTCTATTTCTCTAGGTTGGAAGGATTTGCCTCTGGACTCCCATGTAGCAATGCTGGCCTTTCCCTTGGGCCCCACTGCCCTCAAATGAAAAAGAACAGAGTTGGCAGACACCAAGAATTCGAATTCCTGGGTCAATCTCTTGTCTTTGTTTTATGAGCACAGAAATCCCTGGTCCCAGGCTTTGGCACATCCCTTGTGGCTCTCTGCCCCGCGATTGCAGAAGATACTGGGGCCAAGAAAGGAAGCCTGAGAAATGAGACTAATGCCTTTCCTCTGTCAACATGTAAACTATGTCTAAGGAACTCAAAGCAGATGGGCACATGAGGGCCCAACGCCTGGACTTCATACCCTGGTTAGCACCTGGGGATGTGAGAAACCCTCTTGAGAACTTTCTATGTGTTTGTTTGAAGGTTCCATGAAGGTTATCTAGTGTCTGGGACTTGATGACTTGGTTGTTCATGAGTTAGATTTAATTGTCCCCATTCTTTTCAGATGATATTAATGCAAATTAATATATATGTTTTTTTATCTTGGACTGATATGTTATTCTCTATGATGCCAGGGAAGTAAAGGGGAAAATGGCCTTCTTTGGATAGTGAAGAGTAGGGAGAGAAATGGGATAAAGGGCAGGGCTAGTTCTGGATCGAGGATACAATGTGTGGACAGTCTCTGATACTCATCCTGAGGGAAATTGCCATTCGTTGTGGCCCACATATGGGGCTGTCTTAACATTGTTGTCATCAGGACGGATACAGTCATCTCTCCCAGGAATAGACTCCTGCTGGGTTAGGATGCACGTGAATGCAATAGAACTGGATTTTGTAAGAAGGAATTTCACAAGAGTGGTATTTCTGAAAGCAGAGCCTGGAGACTTGGGGCCCACCCTTTGTTTTCATGATGGAGTCTTCTATCTCCTTCTAATACAACTGCCTGTATCATAGAGAGTGAAGGGAAGCCTTGTTGGCGCTCCTCCTGTTTGGAGAGAAATCTCGTCATTTCAGGGCCATGAAGTCTGGCATTGGAAGACATTGGGTGCCGGCATTCTTGTCCCAGCCTTGAGAAGGGTTCAGCAATCTTGAGAAAGGAGCTGATGTATAGATTCAAGAAGGAATCCAAGGAAGAAAGATGATTTTGAAAGGCATTGGGGGTCAGAGGAGCTTCAGCTAAAGGAACAGAACACAATCTCCTTGTCTAGGACCCTTGCTTTTATTAACACAATTTGTCCTAAGGCAAGGTGGAGACATACACTTCAAAGGGTAAGGTTTCAAAGGGTAAGCTACAGAAGCATTATTAGCTTGGGGGAATAGCCTACAGCTGTTCAGGTGTTTGACCAATGGGAGGCAATAAAATGCCCTGAGCTGTCTGGCAGCAAGGGATTATACTATTCGGGTTTTGGGGAGATGCTTTTTAGCCATCCCAGATGATTCAGCCCTACTGACATGCTGGAATTGGCTCACGGCACTAGGGGTTCTCTCCATACAGAGCAAGAGGTCTTTCTGCTGAGACTTGGACACTTACTGAGTTTTAGGGAGAGAAACCTTGCAATGGAGGCAGCCTTCTCCATCTCTTAGACAAATTGCATCCTCATAAAGTTCCTTTATAAAACAAGCCAAAATGACTGCTTCAGTCCCAATTCTGGCTCCTGGGACAAAACAAGACAAGCCCAATCTCTTCATCACAGCAGCAGTTCCGTGATGGCGAGACCTTCTTCAGGCCCCGCGCTGCTGCCTGTCTCCTTGTTTTTCAGAAGGGTTGTCCAGAACAGACACCTCTGCTAGTGCTTGTCATGTGTTCCCTGTGAGTGATGCAAGTGGTCACCTTTCCTCCTTAAATCTGACGGTGAGGCTGAATCAGGTTTTCTGGAACCGGCCTGACCCGTTCACATCAGAATGAAACCTTTGTTTTCCTTGATCTGGAGACCATTTCTAACAAGCAGGCATTGGCGTTCATTGCAATTTCTCACACAGTTGGCCTCTCTTTGGGGTTTAGATACCCACACTCTTAAGTTTTTTTCTTTTCTGTTTCCTCATGTCTGCTGCCAAGTTAGGTCTTCTCATTTTGAATGTATAGAATTGATTTTCTCAACCTAAATGCTATACTTGACATTATGGCCTTTAAAATCTTTTCTGGTTGTCACCTCCACCCCTCTCCCCATTTTTCCAACTCTGGAGAACTTTTGAATCTTGATTCTTTCATCCAGTGTGTCACCTATGACCGTGCCTCATGCCTCTTAAGCGAAACTGGCTGAGCATGCTCTGGGCCCTGATTTCAGTGCTGACCTAACTGCTGAAGAGGATCCGTCCACCTGCAACAGATGGTGACATGTTCACACTGTCATTTGCCCGATGACTTAGGGCAGTGCTTCTCAAAGTGCGGTCCCCAGCTCAGCAGCTCCGCATCACCTGGCCCTTTTAGAAATGCAGATTCTCCAGCCTCACCCTACACACAGAGAATCAAGAACCGTGGGGAATAGGGCCAGCAACATGCTTGTTCAAATCCTCCAAGTGGTTCTGATGTCCAACCCAAGCTTGGGAGCCACTGATCTGGAGTATTTGGAAGGCAGATAAAAATGAAACCTGGAGTACACAGGCATTGGATGGTATCAGAGTCTATTTGAGGAGCCAGTTTGTGAGCAATCTAGTCAGACATCCTAGTAGCATGGGCCTGTGTCACAAGAGGGATTTGCCTCTGGACTCTATTTGACTAAAGGACAAACCCTAGGGGAGGCCTCTGGCTTAGTAGGTACAGAAGCAGTTTCCAGGGAGATCGGAGTCTGATGAAGAGAGTTTAGTAAAATGCCGAACGTCCGACCCAGGCCCAGGGAAGAAAGGACAAGCCTGGCTCACCCTGCAGCCGGGCAGTGCTGTCTCCCAGGGGAGACTTTAAACAATTGAACGTTTCACAAAGGAAGGTCTCATAACTTTTCTTTCCACAGGCCCATCTGCTAAACATCCCGAGCTGGAACTGGAAGGAGGGTGATGATGCAATCTGCCTCGCAGAGCTGAAGCTGGGGTTCATAGCCCAGAGCTGCCTGGCCCAGGGCCTCTCCACCATGCTCGCCAACCTCTTCTCCATGAGGTCATTCATAAAGGTAACGTCTTGTCCTATTAGAGCACATTAGCCCCAGATTCAATTTGTCGTGGGGTTGAGTAGAGAGCACCGCTTAAACTCAAACCAGATCGATGGGCCTCAACCGCTTTGGTGGGGGAGAAATTCCTTGTTACAGATTTGGGCGAGAGGCCAACTTCTTTCAGAATTATGTTTTTATTTTTATTTGGCACATCCACGGCCATTAAATGATTGTTCAAAGCACAATCCTCTCTTTTTTTAGATAAACCACATGTTTATCTATCAACAAAGCCTCCGCTGTTAAAACAAAAATATGATTTATATACATTCCATATGGCACCAGAGTGCCTAAAGAAAAGAATTATCATTTCCCTCTTTTACATCAAGTGGCGGGTGGACCTCTCACTGTGCGGATAAATGTAGACCATGTGTTTGTGCCGAAGCCCAAACCCCAACAACATAATTCATTTATTTATTTCTGCACAATCAAGGAGGCCAGCGGGGCTGACATGCCACAGTTATTTGAATGGCGAGGGAAAGGCTGAGCTGAGTACTCAGCAGCGGTGCCCTTTCCGCCGTGAGATAGGCGGCCTGGATATGCTCGCCTCCTGTCAGCCATTCATGCCACTGAGCTCCCCGGGCAGCTCACCGTGGCTCCTGCCTGCTGAACCTGATCTGTCCTCTCAGGCCAGGCCGGGCATGTTTCTGGAACATGGGTTGAGGCTCCAAGCTTAGAGTGTCCTTGGAGTTCAGGATAATGAGAACACCAGTCCTACTCCTTGGATTGTTCTCAGCCTCACCAGGCAAGGTGGCCGGACCAGTGCAGTGAAACTTGTCTAGTTTGGGTCTCTCTGATTTGGCACTGGTGCCCGTTAGCTCAAGATCTGGGCTTACAGTGCCCTGCCTGTTCCTCATGTCTTCACATTCAGCTTCCTGAGCTGGTAGTGGTTGAGACGGGAAGTTTGTGAGTCACCAGGAGGTCCCACAAAGGTGGCCAAAAGCTCTGAAATCAGAGCTGTGAGCCCTCCAGCCTTCGCTGCCATTGTTGCCACGCCCAGTACCAGAGAGAAGGTCTGGGTGGAGTTGAGGAGGCGGACCTGATGCATTGAGAGGGATGAGTGGTGAGGATGGGGATGCAGGTGATGGACTAAAACTCTGTATCAGTTCTCCTCTTCGGCCTCCATGGGTTGTTTGACTTAGAACAGGATTTTTTTTAGGCCAGAACTTGCTGTTCCTACCTCATTGGCTTAATTTAGCCACTTTCTAGTTCACATTCCTCTGTGGATAAGAACAACTTGTCTTGGAGTCCCTTCAATCACTTTAGGAAATAGGTGCCTTGATTAAAGAAATTCTTCTAGCCTCTACATGCCCAGAGACCTGCACTTCACTGATGGCCTGGCTCAGGCCCAGCTCACAAGCAAGGACATCGCATTCCTTTAAGTGGCTCCTTCAGTCCAGGCTGCTGGTCCGCTGCCTGGAGGAAGCAGAATGAGGCAACATGGAGGCGGCAGGGTGGCCTGTGTGGCCACCCTCCCCTTCCCCCACCCCACCCCAGATGTAAGCTTGTGTCTCCCAGACTCTTCCCCGCAGCAACAGGAGCCCAGGCTCAGGACTGTCACCAGGAGAGCTCCTCTGGCTTGTCCATCCAGCTCTGGTGGTTTCTTCTGCCGGGAGTTTCCCACAGCCCCAGGCTTGAGGCCTGAAGGCCTGGCCTCCACTCCCTGGTGCTGATGTAACCCCGCCTTGGCAGGGCCCCGCTGCACATGGGCTGTTGACATGGGCATGTTTTGATTTTGCGGTGCCTGCGTGAAACTAGAGCCACCTGTCAGGAACATGAGTAAAGTGGAGGTGACGCTGATTCTGCAGGGTTGTTACCAGTGGGGAGAAGGAACTTCTGTCCAGCTTCCCACAAGACCCTGGAGGGCCTTACCCCTGCACCAAGGACGCCCTTTCAGCCCAACTCAGCCCACTGCCAAGAAGAGCCTGTGGGAGAGGCTCGGCCTGGCCCTGGTGTAACTGAAAACACATTTCCCTCCTGGGGTTATGTTTCTGTGCTGCTTCTGTCCAGGGCCAGCCCCCTGAGTTTGGGGGTAGCTCTCTATTTGGCCCTGTGACATCAGGTGGTCTTTGTGTTGGAATTCGCTAAGCGCATGACCTAGAAAGAGCGAGGCCTCCAGTCATCTGTTTCTCTCATTAACAATAGGACAGCCTTAAGCGCATGCCCACCGTTCTGCAGCATCATCTCTGTGCACTTGCCCTCAAATCCCAGGTCCTCTCTGTCTCCTTTAGCTCGTAACGAACACCGCAGCGAAGCTCTCCTTAGGAAGTTTTATGTATTATCTCCCATTCCAGGGGAGCAAAGCCTTCGCTTGTTTTTATTTGGGGGCAGATGGAAAAGGAAAGCTATAAGTGGATTGTTGTTTACAGAAATTGCTTCCTTCCCCAATGTCCCCCATGTCCTATGCAGAGAATCCATCAGCACTTCCACAGGGACAGACCGTCCTATCAGGGTGCAGGGGGACCGGATGGGGCTTGGCAACACTTGATCCCTTGAGCACACTTAGCGGTTCTGGAAGCCGAAGGTGGGGTGTGAGCTCACCTCTCCCTTGCCTGAGGCAGGTACAGTGTCTGTTTCTTGGTTCAGCAGCTTGTACTGTGCTCAGTCTCTCCTGAAAGAAGAAGGAGTAGGAACGAGTCTGAAACAGGGATGATATATCACAGGCACAGTGACTCACCTCTAGACTTTTTAAGCCAGGACTGAAAGTGAAGGCGTGAAAGCTCAACAAAAGAGATAGGGCTTCTGGTATGGAGCTGCCACTGAAGAGACCCAGCCCAGATACAGCAGGAAATACGGGGGAGCACTCTCTTATTCCCTCAGCAATGTCCCTTTCAAAGATCCTCACCCCAGGGCCCCAAGTCATTGCCCCTGAAAGCTTAGCTCCCATATTGGATATGTTCTTTCTGAATAAATCTAAAATCTTGGAAATCTATTTATGTTTTTAGCCCACATCTTAGGGGTAATGATTTTTTTTTTAAGGTTGCACTTAACTTGTTCCACTTGAGGCATGCTTTCTACAGTTTCTGATGTGCTGGGATTTGTTTAATAAATCTATGCTAACTTTATAGCCAATACATTTGTGAAAGAGGCTCAGGTTGGCCACTCAGGGGGACCTCCAGCCCAGTGGCTTGTTGCTAGTGACAGGTTAAGCATTTTGTCCATGACATCCAGTTTCTCTACCCAGAGTTCCTTTAAGGAGTGAAGGCAAATGTTCTGGTTCCTGTGACTTGTCAACACCTCCATTATCCACCAGGCCTGGAATGGCCTGCTCACTGTCTGATCTCCCACCACCTGCCTTCTCCCTAGAGTCTTCATAAAGACCAGGACAAGGAGTCAAGGTAGCCTATCTTCCCCCGCTTTTTGGGGCCCTGGAGAAGGGCCACTCTTCCCCTCTATTTAGCTTCCTCACTGGAATATAACTTCCGATTCATTGATTTATTTTATTTTATTTGGTTTTAGAGTCTTACCATGTAATAGTTAACTTTCCAACATATCTAGTTACAAGTCAGGACTTGACCTGCTATTTTTGTGAATTGTGCTATTATTCTTACTAGGATTAGCTGTCCTTGGACATGATAAATTGTGTGTGGGGGTGTTGTGTGTTTAGAGGGTGATTAATTCTTAAAATGTCTTTTTGGTCCACGCTAAGTCTTGAAATTGAGCACATTTAAATTGTTTCCAGGATTGCCAACTATTTTAACTCCACTAATCTACCATTTCATACACACACACACACACACACACACACACACACACACACACACTTTTACACAGCCTAGAACATGGCAGGCATTCTGTAATTATTTCTTGGGTGGATAAATCAGTTATGAAAATGGAGAAATTATGTAAAATGCCTTTTAAATTTCCCCCTATTTTATAAGATTTGGAGTTGTGGGTGAAATTTACTTAATATTGATCAGAATGCAGTCTCCTCTGTCATATTTCCTATTTGTGAATGAGCAAGCACTAGGAAAATCAGACCCTTATTATTCAGCTTGTATGTTGGCTGAGGTGGCTTTGCTGGACATAAAACCATTTGTTCGTTATTGTTATTACCGTGTTGAGATAAACTTTCAGCAATACATAATCATAGCAATAATTGTAGCCAAGGGAATCATTTTTAATACTTTTATTTTGGGTTATGTTTATGTGCGTGTATGTGTTTGAATATATTTGTATATAAAAACATGGTTTAGGAGCTAGATATGTAAATCAAGAATCTTTAATAATAGCTTAAGTATACTAGGTCCTAACAATGTGCCAAGCCCTCTGCTATGATTTATATGCATTATCTCACTCAATTATTACAATGACCCTACCCAAACTTGGCACTGTTACTAATTCCTGTGGGTTAAGACAAGTTGAGTGGCTTGTGTGAGGGCATAAAGTTGGAATGAGGAACTCAGTTGTTCGAACCCAGGCAAACGGGTTCCAGGACCAAGAGGAAATTGGATCGGCGATAAGAGGGAACTTAGCTAGTGCCCTCATCTTGGCACAAATCTTAGCTTTCTGTAGTTCACTTTATGGAAACTATGGATTCAATGGAAATTCCCTGTGCACCTACCACACTCCAGGCAGTGTGCTACTCAGACTGTCAGCCTGGCTACGAGGTGCTGAGAAGCTTCCAGAAGCTTCTGTTCAGACTGGGATGTGTGGGCACATGTTTTTCCAGCCCCATCTGTGGCTCTTGTTGGCATTTGTCTCTGGCATATCTGCAAGGGCCACGGTATCAAGGCAGATGAGGGGTTAGCCTAGGGTGGGATGAGTCAGGGTGGGGAAATGAATTAGGCTCCCAAGGCAGAACTGACTTCAGGCACTGCTGTACTTGGGGGTAAAGCTAATTGGCTTAGGGCGGGTGCTTCTGGGAGACAACAAGAAATTCCTGTTGGCTGGTGGGCATGAGCTCTGCTGACCAGAGGCACTTATCCAGGTGAGGGAGGCCTTCTGGAAGCAAGGCTGCACTC